CACTCAGGAGGCAGAAAGCAGGTGGATTTCTGTGAGTTCAAGGCAAGCCTGGTCTACAAAGTGAGTTCCAGTACAGCCAGAGCTAAACAGTGAAACCCTGTCTCAAAAAAACAAAAAGAAGGAAAAAGAGAAAGCCTGTTAGTGTGTGTGTTAGTTCCTGTACTGTTGCTGTTAGGAGAAGCCATGACCAAGGCAATTTACACAAGAAATCATTTATTTGGGAGCTTGCTTACAGTTTCAGAAGGTTAGCTCCTGACCATCATGGTGAGGAGCGTGGTAGCAGGTAGGCATGCCACTGAGGGCTCACATCTGTTCTGAAATTTGCAGGCAGAGACAGACTGCAACTGACTTGGGCTTTTGAAATCTCAAAGCATGCCCTCACCCCCACCCCTGTGAAACAACCTCCTCTAGCAAGCCACACCTCTTAATACTAAACAGTCCAACTGGTACCAAGTATTCAAACATGAGCCTCTTAGGTCTTTTCTCATTCAAACCACCACAGTAGGAAAGAGGATTGCTCCTAATCCCCAGGCACAGAACAGAGACCTAGAAAGTACCCCAGTGCTAGTGTGAGTTAAACTGAGATGTGCACACACAGTGAGAGCCTCATCCATTCCACAAGGTTTTGTTTTTTTATTGTTAATTGTTTAGCTTTTTTGTTGTTGTTGTTGAAAGTATATCAATGTTTAACCTTGGCTGGCCTGGAACTTGCTTTGTAGACCAGAAGTGGCCTTGAACTCAGATTTGCCTGCCTCTGTTTCTGAGGGTAAAGGTGTGCGCCACCACACCCAGCTCCCCAAGCACTTCTGCTGTGGGCACTGAATGAGACAGAACCCAGCAGCAAGCTGGACAAATGGGTCTTCCTTTGGGGACACTCCCATGCTCTCCAGATGCGTATGTAAGTCAGTGTTCCATAACAGGAAGTGAAATGGTCCAATTTCATTTTTGGCTGGATCCAAATGCTGTCCACGAATCCCATTCTTCTGAACTATTCCCAGAATGTACTGGCACATCCTATGTCTGAGAAGTCCTGATGGGGGGGACTCTCCCAAGAAGGAGTACAAGGCCAATAGCCAACATCCCCTAACAACCCTCTAAAGAGATGCTTCTACTGTGATTCAACACAAGGCTCTTCTGCAGAGATGGCTGGTCCCCAAGTCTGAACTAAGTATCACTTAAGTCAGCAGGGGTGAAGGGGTCATGTTTTGGAATGCAGAGCTGGGATAAAAGAACTGGAAACCTTGAGACCTGGCTTCTAGCATGGACCCCTAAGACCATCTTCTTACTGGACAGAAGCATACAAGCTGCTGAGCTTGGGGGTGGCTCTCAAACCCAACAGATTCCAGGTGCTGTATCCATCCTTACTCTTCACATTTCTCCAAGGGTAGACAAGTGTATACAGAGATTCAGGGCTTGTCTTGCACTGGGGACCAGCAAGGAGTAAAACCTTGGCCTTTGAATTGGAGTGCTTAGGGATAGGAGGGACATGAGACCAGCTTTGAGTTGTAGCACCATCACCAACAAACCCAGGGATGACCTATCTTTGTATATGTCCTTATTTTCTTTCCATTGTACTAAAGAGAGGCGGAGGAGAAAGGGCTATGGTAGGCAACCTTTAGTGCCTGCCCCTAAATCAGTGCCTTCCAGATTTATCTTTTACAAAACACATTCTGACGCACTAGCAGAATGTGGGATCTGAGTGGACAAGCTAACCACTGGGGAACTGTCACAGCTGTCTAATTGAAAAAGAGGGCTTGAGCATTGGGGGCAATAGAAATGGGATTGATATTTAGGGGTGACATTAAATCATAGCAGAGGGACCTGGACTTTTTCTGTTGCAGCCCCCTCATCCCTCCACCCCACCCACACACATCTACCCTCTATTGCAATGCTACCTTGTACCTGTTATCTTCACTACCAGCTTAAACTCAGGTGACCACTCCCTGTAGTGCTTGATCCCACACAATCCTCAGGAGGCACCTGGTACCCGTGGATGGGCACACCAGGTGGAGAGGGTGTCCAAAGCAGTTAACTGAGGGTGAGAGAATCAAACTGTATGAGAACTAAGCCTGGTGAGGCCTAACCCCTGGCTAACAGTAGTCCCCTCTGACCACCTGGACTTAGGGGGAAGCAGTGGGTAGGTGGCTACTAGATTCCTAAGTCGTCATCCTGCCCCCTTCCCCACTTTTCCAGTTGAGGCAAACTGGGCATCCTTGGGAATGAGGAGACAAGGAAGGTTACCCTGGTAACTGCTTGGCCCTGCCCTGCAGCAGTACAGACAAAGGCCACTACCCTCCCCCTGGCCACTGTGCAGGCAAGGTTCCCAACCCCCCACCATCACCCTGGCTCAATTCCCCCCTCCTCTGCCTTTAGCTGAAGCTCCATTAGCTTTGCACAAAACCTCACCCACCCTTGGGAAAGGTGCTCTCTGAGCTTTATTGTCCCGAGCAGTGGGGGCTGGGGCCACCCTCAGGTTCTCTGGCTAGGCTCCAGGATTGAGAATGGCTCCCAGAGGGGAAATTAATGCCAAGAATGGCCTACAGCTTGGGCAAAGTTTTGTGAGAGGGACTAGAGACCGAGGGCTTGCAGCTATTTCCTTGGCCACTTGGTGTGCCCCACTATATTTCAGGATTCATGGTAGATACTTGGTTTTTCTTTTTCTTTCTTTTTCTTTTCTTTTTTTTAGACAGGGTTTCTCTGTGTAGCTTTGGAGCCTGTCCTGGAACTGGCTCTGTAGACCAGGGTGGATACTCCTATTAGCCTGGGACTTCATTGGCTTGTTTTAGTTTAGTTGACAATTTTTGTTTTGCTTTGCTTCTTCACAGGATTTCTCTGTATAGTCCTGGCTGTCCTGGAACTCACTCTGTAGATCAATCAGGCTATCTTACAACTCATAGAGGTCCACCTGCCTTTGCTTCCCGAGTGCATGTACCACAACTGCCCAGCTTGGTTAACAATTTTTAATTTATAGTTTATATTATATTGCTATTTCTATTTATTTATTTATTTATTTATTTTAGTTTTTCAAGATAGGGTTTTTCAAGATATGCTGGGACTTGCTCTGTAGACCAGGGTGGCCTTGAACTCACAGAAATCCACCTGCCTCTCCCAAGTGCTGGAGTTAAAAACGTGTGCCACCATACTTGGCTTTTCTTTCTTTCTCCTTTTGCCTTGAGACAGGGTCTCACTTTGTAGCTCAGGTGACTTTGAATTCTCTATGTAGCCCAGAAAGGCTTTGAACTTGTTATGGGCCTGCAGATCAGCTTCCTGAACATTTGAATTAGAGATGGGAACCACCACACTAGGTCCATGTTCACTTTATTGGGGGGCAAGGTTGATTTTGTGTGTGTGTGTGTGTGTGTGTGTGTGTGTGTGTGTGTGCGCCTTTGTCTGTGTGGTCTCTATTATTTTTAGCTCTGGCTATTCTGGAATTCACAGTGTACACCAAGCTGGCCTTAAATTCATAGAGATCCACCTACTTCTGCCTCCTGAATGCTAGGACTAAAGGTGTGCATGCACTATGACACATGGCACTATGTTCACTTTTATTTTTATTTCTTAAAAATATTTTTATTTTATGTTCACTAGTGTTTTGCCTGCCTATGTGTCTGTGTAAAGCTGTCAGAAGCCCTGGAACTAGAGTTACAGAAAGTTGTGAATTGCCATGTGGATACTGAAAATTGAACCTGGGTCTTCTGGAAGAGCAGACAGTGCACTTAACCACTGAGCCATAGCTCCACCCTCCCCCATGTTCACTTTTAAGTGTGAGTAAAAATAGGGTCTAGAGCAGTGTTTCTCAACCTCCCTAATGCTGCAACCCTTTAATAGAGTTCCCCATGTTATGGTGAACCCAATCCATAAAATTATTTTTATTGCTACTCCATAACTGTAATTTGGTACTATTATGAATCTTAATGTATCTGTGTTTTCTGGTGGTCTCAGACAACCCCTAAGGGGTTGAGAACCACATATTGAGAACCACTGTCCTAGAGTGGTGAGGCCTCTCTGCACATACTGGTGAGGCCTCACTGCACATGGGAGTATCCACCTTGGAAAAGGGAGCTTTCTAGACTTGGTAACAAACTGAACTGCGCCTGCCTGGGTGACAGACCTGCTGGGCCAACTTGTGCTAGTGGCCTGAGAAAGTCAGGGCTGGGCGCGTTTCACGGGTGTCAGTGAGGTGGGTACCTCATGAGAAGGAAAAATATCCAATATCAAAAAGGATCCATTTGGCTGGGCGTTGGTGGTGCACGACTCGAGGCCAGCCTACTCTACAAAGCTAGTTCCAGGACAGGCTCCAAAGCAATACAGAGAAACCCTGTCTCGAAAAACAAACAACAAAAAAGGATCCATTTAGGGATCAAACCTTGTGGTCCCAGCCATGGTGCTGCTGCTGTCCCTGGTCCTGACTGTCCACCAGGAGCTCACCTCTTCCAGGAGCTTCTAGACCCAGGTTAGGGCAAGATGTGGTGTAGATATCGTCTCCTAGTAGACTTTACCTGTCACCAAAGTAAAGCCTACTAGGAGTTGAACCACTAATGCCAAACGGAGGCATCCTCCTCATCAAGGCCACAAGGCACCTCCCAGAGTGGGACCCTAGGTTGGCGCCATGGCGCTGGTTTTTAACCTAGAGCCTTTAGTGATTACGTGGCTAGTGTTTTTTGTTCTGAAAGTATTCTCACCATGTGCTCTAGCTCGCTTTTGACAATTTCCCCTCATTTCTGAGGAAGGAGCCTGGGCTGGGGCCTGGGGAAGGACGGGGGAGCGTGTGGCATGCAGAAGGTGAAGGTAAGAAATACAAGCAAGAGGTCCGTCCGCTCGTCACTCCCACAGGAGGGAAGACGGCGTTCTCCTTTGTCGCCGTCTCCGAGGGGCAGGAAGCTGCACGTCTGTCTCCGGGAACCCTCCCAATCCCACTCCACGCTTCCCGGCTCCCGGTCGCCAGGCTGGGGAAATCCGCCCGGCCTCGGCCCCGCCCCGCCGCCCCGCCCTGCTGCGCCGCAGCCCCCCAACCCCCACCCCGCTTTGCTTAGCGGTGCTCACGCCTGCTGGGCGTGGGGCGCGAGCCGGGTGCTGCGCGGGGCTCCGGGGTGCTCGCTCCAGCTGCCGCTGCGGATATGTCGGGTCCGCGCGCGGGATTCTACCGGCAGGAGCTGAACAAAACAGTATGGGAGGTGCCGCAGCGGCTGCAGGGCCTACGCCCAGTGGGCTCCGGCGCCTACGGCTCGGTCTGGTAGGGGCCAGCAAGGATCTGGTGGGAGCTGGGCGGGAATGTGTGCGCGACCCTCCAGCGCGACGTGGGGTTCCCGGCGTGGGGAGGGGCCTCGCCCTGCCTCCGCCCCCGGCCGGCACGCTTCTGAAGAATGAATTGGGGGGGAGGGGAGGGGACACGGAGGAAACTTTCCTACTGGATTCCACTGGTGGGGCAGGGAGGGGCTCCTCTAACGTACCCCTATCTACGATCCCTTGTTTCTCCCAGTAAGACCGAATCCCGCGGCGTCACAGCTGGCTGGCGGGAGAGCGAGTCTCTGGGTCAGCTAAATGGAGCAGCCATCCGGGTTATTTGGGGCAGGGTCTAATTAGCAGAAGGTTCTAACCAGCCCCCAGACCTGCGTGTTTGCAAAGGGGACCCTCAGCGCGGTGAGGAGACCTCCTCTTCGGAAGGCATCAAACTCTCCCATGGATCGTACCCTCTCCTCCAGTATTCTAGGAGTCTCAGATAGAGGCTTGAGTAAAATTAGACACCTATCCTGTCTACACCCTACTCCAGTTTACCCAACAAAGGATCCCAGGATACAGCCCCACAGCTAGGTCTTGAAGATCAGGGGTAGACTACCGGGTGGCTGAAACCAGCTAACTCCCAGGCACCCGCAACTGGAGAATGGGTGCAGATAGTCCATGTAGATAGGCTGGTCAAGGGTGTGAAGGTGATATGTGCCTCCACCCCGGCACTGGGAATGGGGGCTGAGGCTCAAAATCTTGGATCTTGTGCTGTCATTTCCCTGTCATCAGAAGCCTGTGTCAAATCTCTCACAGCAGAGCTCTGATGAAATCGTATAGATTCAACATAGAGAAAAACAGTCCTGTTTTACAGGGCCCAGTATGAGCTTGGTCATGGGATTGTGCCCCATGCCTGTAGCCTGTAATTTCAGCACTCTGAGATGGATGACACTTGTTCCCTATCTCCTTGCTCCTCTTTCTCTCAGGGTGTACCCCTCCACAGTGAGTAGAAACAGGATACTCCCCACCCCCAATGCCCAAAGAACAGAAGAGAAGAAAAGATAAGAAAGGCTGTGTCTAGGATGCTCACAGCAACTAGAGGAGGATGAGTTTACACAAAATCCCTTATTAAAAAAAAATACATTACAGGGAGAGAGGGGATGGGGAGAAAGGTTGGCAGATACCTTGCAGGGGACTTGGACATTGACTAAGATGGAATCATCCAGGGTTGACCATCTAGAAGTTGCTGGGAGATAGCCAACTTTCCTAAGTGAGGCCTAGGTCGGTCTCCACTGATCTATAACCTGGGTTTGTTTAATTGCACTACTGAGGTTGGTGATAGAATGCCAACTCCTTGTAATTGGATTGTTCAGATGCAGTGGAGCAGCAGGGTCTGCTGCTCTAGTGGCTACTGCCCTCACGCCCCACCGTAGGAGATATTTAGACATTCTGCTTGTCACAGGGAACTGGCTTCCCTCCATTACTTTTTAGTCCCATGAACATCCTTGCCTGCCCTTGCCCAGTGGGGATGGGTAGTACCCTGTCTCCATTCACTGCAGGGAACGGTGCACCCATGAGATGAAAAGACTCAAGAGGGAGAGACTATAGCCAACTGGGCTCCTTCAGTGGATTCATAACTGCCCCAGTCTTGATGGCAGTGGGGCCAAAACTTGGGGAAAAGCCCTATGACCACAACTCATGACCATGCTGGGCTAGGTACCACCAATACAGAAGGCACATTCTCATTTGCCCATTTGAGAACTCTCCAGGAAAGGACAGAAGGGTGAAGAGGAGCCTGGTGGTGGTGGTGCACACCTTTAGTCCCAGCACTCAGGAGATAGAGGCAGACGGATCTCTGTGAGTTCGAGGCCAGCTTGGTCTATAGAGTGAGTGCCAGAACGGCCAGGGCTACACAGAGACACCCTGTCTTCAAAACCCAAAACCAACCAAAACAAAAAGGGTACAGAGGTGGAGGGTCCTCCAGTCTCTGGGGAGTGGTAGTGGGCCAGAGACCCCCCCAACCCACACGAGATAAACATTTCCTATCACCCAGTTACTCAGTTGTAAATTGTGTGTGGGTTTTTTGTTTTTGTTTTGAAACAGTGTTTCACCATCTAGTCTTGAACTCAACTCCATTCTCTTGCTTCAGTCTCCCAAGAGCTGGTATTACAGGCAACCACCACGGCCAGCTTCATTAGGATGCAATAAACACCTCTTCCTTCCGCAATCTGATGTGTGGAGGCGTGGGGGTGCGGTGTCTATGGCTTTGTAGGCCAGCCTCCCCTTGTTCACTGGGTCCATGAGGAAGGAGGAAGACTGCTTGCTGAGGGAGTACCCATGAGCATGGTCGTAGCGTGTTGTCCATGCAACGGCGGCCTCGTTGTGAGTGGAGGCTTAGGTTTGGCAAGAAGAAAAGAAAAGAAAAAACCCTCTGCCAGAGAACCCTCAGCCTACTCAAGGGGGTTACCTAAGGGAGGTCCAAGAGGGGCGGCATGAAGACAGCGCAGAGCGAGCAGGCAGGGCCAGGCCTCCTAAGTCTTGGAGCCAGCAGTGGAAGCTTGCTCCTGTACTCTGGTGCAGGGTGAACTCAGGGTCAGGCGCTCGCTCATCGCCTCAATCGCCCACCTTGCAGCTCAGCCTACGACGCGCGTCTGCGCCAGAAGGTGGCTGTAAAGAAGCTGTCTCGCCCTTTCCAATCGTTGATCCATGCGAGGAGGACCTACCGGGAGCTTCGCCTACTCAAACACCTGAAGCACGAGAACGTGAGAGGGCGGACCGGTGGTGTAGTAATTGAACAACGGGCACCGCCCCGTCGGGGCGGGAGCGAAGTGGGTGGGGTGGGGCCTTTGGAGGGTACGCCTCCATATAGGCGGGGTCCAGACCAGTAGGGGCGTTGCCTACAGTTGTGTTGTGGTCCCGCCTCGGTTTCCTGCCCAGATCATAGGGCTTCTGGACGTCTTCACGCCGGCCACATCCATCGAGGATTTCAGTGAAGTGTGAGCAGCCTGGGCAGGCGTGGTGATGGCTTTGGGAGCTTAGTCGGGGAGGGTGTAGTGAAACTCTGTCCTAACTCCTGATCCTGGCGCAGGTACCTGGTGACCACCCTGATGGGCGCTGACCTGAATAACATCGTCAAGTGTCAGGCACTGAGCGATGAGCATGTTCAGTTCCTCGTCTACCAGCTGCTGCGTGGGCTGAAGGTGGGGCGCTTGGGCTCTGGGGTTGCCTCGACCGTGCTAGGTTGGGGCAGAACAGGGTGGAGCCTGGACTCACCCGGTGTGCCCTCCCCTGCAGTATATCCACTCGGCAGGCATCATCCACCGGGTAGGTGCAGCTGTGGGCGAGGGTGAGGGTCAGTCACTCTGCCCAGGTTCATGGGTGCCTCATTCACGCCCCGTCCACCCTGCAGGACCTGAAGCCCAGCAATGTGGCGGTGAATGAAGACTGTGAGCTTAGGGTAAGGATGGTGGTGATGCATGAACAGTGGGGATACACAGAGAAGTAGGCTGCACAAAGAAGTTACATAACACTTATGGTCCTCCAGATCCTGGACTTTGGGCTAGCGCGCCAGGCTGATGAGGAGATGACTGGATATGTGGCCACACGTTGGTACCGGGCGCCAGAGATCATGCTGAACTGGATGCACTACAACCAGACAGGTGCCATCGGCCATCAACAGTGGCCTTGTAGTGTGAGGGTGGGCAGGCAGTGCTCACACACAATGTTTAGGGAAGGTGACAAATCTGTGAGGATAGGAAGAAGGGCTAAAAGGGAGAAGAGTATGCCTGGAGCTCTAAGTGAGGGGCAAGGGTTTGGCAGGACCAACTTTTAGAAAGGTGTCTAGCTTAGTGGGTATCCTCATACCTCTTCTCAGGGTAGGGTATAGAGTAAGGGCTCTATTGGTCTCTTTGGTCCTGGATATGACTGAGGGTCCCCCACACACACACCATGGGAAGAATTTGGGGGTGGCAGACTGATAGTGTCTCCTTATTCCACCCCCCCAACAGTGGACATTTGGTCTGTGGGCTGCATCATGGCTGAGCTGATTCAAGGAAAGGCCCTCTTTCCTGGAAACGACTGTATCCTTGGGGAGCAGGGTTAAGCTGGGGTCCCATTCTACAGGGTAGGGTTGGTCTCCAGCCCCTGTTTGAAGTCTTATTGTGTCATGTCCCATGGGGCCCCCGTCCTGCACCACACAGTTCCACACCGGGTGTTTCCTGAGCTAGGTAGATATTGACCAGCTGAAGCGAATCATGGAGGTAGTGGGCACACCCAACCCTGAGGTTCTGGCAAAGATATCATCGGAGCATGTAAGTTAGTGACCATCCATCCATCCATCCATCCATCCATCCATCCATCCATCCATTGGTTCTGCTGACCAAGCACCGGTCATGTTGGGGAGGAGGTGGAATGCAGATAAATGGGCATCACATGGGGGATAGGGCTTGTGCTAAACTCCTTAGGGGGAAGCAGGTGAATCAGTAGGGTATCTCCAGGCTGGAGAAACAGTGAAGACAAAGCTGCCAACACTGACCAAATCCTCTGGCTATAGACAGTGGAGGCAAACAAGAGGAAAGAAAGCTTTGAATATTTGACTTCTGCAGGCATCATCAGAAGCCAAGTGGAGGTCTGGAGTTCCCAGACCTTTTTATTTTTGTTGTTTTTGGAGACAGGCTTTCTCTGTGTAGCCCTAGGAGTCCTGGGACTTGCTCTGTAGACCAGGCTGGCCTTGAACTCAGAGATCCACCTGCCTCTGCTTCCTGAATACTGGGATTAAAGGCGTGAGCCACTACTGCCCAGCTAAGGAGCCCCCAGACTTCGAGAGCAAGACTCTGGCTTGCTGGGGCACCTGCCAGGCCTGTTGGAATGAATGCATCAGGGCTGTCTCCTGAAGCCTTCTGCCCAGTCTGGGTCCATGGGAATAGAGGGTAATTAGCCCTCCAAGTCCTTCTTATGTGTCCCCAGGCCCGGACATACATCCAGTCTCTGCCCCCCATGCCCCAGAAGGATCTCAGCAGTGTCTTCCATGGAGCCAACCCTCTGGGTGAGGACTGATACTGGGTCTTGGTTGGGCTTCAGATCCAAGACTGGATGTAGTGCTAACCCTCACTCCTGTAGCTGTAGACCTCCTTGGAAGGATGCTGGTGCTAGACAGTGACCAAAGGGTCAGTGCAGCTGAAGCCTTGGCCCATGCATACTTCAGCCAGTACCACGACCCTGATGATGAGCCAGAGGCTGAGCCCTATGATGAAAGTGTTGAAGCCAAGGAACGAACACTGGAGGAGTGGAAGGGTGAGCACGGGACAGGGGCATGGGAGAGGGAGAGAAATGCCCAAGAAGTCTGTGGGCTGCATTTTTTCAGAGCAAGATTTTTACCTGTTTCATGCAAGAAACTCCGCAGAAATTGTCCCTAAGTGGCCTGGGAGGGGGGAAACAATATGCCTGTTCTCCGAAGTGAGACATGTAAAAGTGTGTATGTGTATGGGCTGGGAAGCAGATGCCACACATGCAGATGGGAAAATGGGGTGTGTGTATGTAGGCAGAAACACAATCTTATCCTTTTTTTTTTTTTTTTTTTTTTTTCATTCCCCCAGAGCTAACTTACCAGGAAGTCCTTAGCTTCAAGCCCCTGGAGCCATCACAGCTACCTGGCACCCATGAGATTGAGCAGTGAGGCATTGCCCCTGGGGGGAGCCTCCCCCTTTCCTCAGCTCCCCAGTTTTTCTCAAAAGGTGCCTCTCAGGCAGCCCTGACATTTAACCTGGGACTCCTTGCCTTGAGAGAACTCTGCACTTATATACACACATGAATGCACAAATGTGTACATATGCCTGCCATTATGTGTTGGAGCCTGGGCAGTAGTGTTTCTGGGCCCACCTTGGTCCACCCAGGTTCTCCTTGGTACCTCAGTGTGCGGGATCTGAGTGTGTCTGCTCTTGAAAACTATCTGGATTGGGAGGGAGGCAAACAGGTCATGGCCCCTGGAGACTCTGAGGGGGTAGGAGTCATAGTGATTGGAGCAGCTGAAAGCTGAGGCAGGGCCAGTGTCCCCATCCAATGGAATGGAGTTTCCCATGGTGGTGGCAAGGCAGAGACCATCACCAGATATCTAATCTGAAAAGCTGGCTGCAGCTTTGTTTGCCTGTGAAATGTGGGCAAACGGGAATGCATGTACATTCATGCATATACTCATCAGAGCATACACAAGCACGTACTGGTGTGTATGAGCACCCAAGGGTCAGCAGCCATTTCTGGTAGGGCACCTAAGATGGAGACATTCTTACCTCTCCTCCTCCAAGTTCCTGTTGCCTAATGGGTCCTGACACCCATCTGTGAACTAGACTACTGCTCTGAGAGGTGCCAAGATCCATTCTTCTGAGCAAAACCCAGGACTTTCTTCTAAGGTGTAGGGCTGCTACAGGATCCCGAGGCACAAGGACACAAAGCCAGCTTGGAAGCTGGTGAAATAGGGTGGGGCTCTAATCTCTAGGATGCTAGGTGGACAGCACCCATGGATGTGAACCTGGACGTTCTTGTCCCATGACCTTGATTCAAAGCTGACAAATGTTTGCCCACATTCTACCTCCACCTACCCTTGTATAGCTACTACAGCTGGTCTAGCATGCTGTGGTCAGTGAGTCATCCCTTATCTCCCCTTTCCCCAGAGAGGAGCTGACCAAGTAACTTTTGAGGTAGGACCCCGTTTGAAGACATGTTGGGGGTGTGGCTCCTCCCTGAAGAGATGATGATCTCTTGCTATCGGGGATTAGGGGACTCTGAATGTCAAGTGCCTGCACCAAGGGTGCACAATAAAGGGGTTTCCCTCTTGCTCTTGTGTGGAAGGCTCCAGACCCCATTGTTTCTACTGCCCCTGCTACCTGGGGAAGGAGGGGTTGGATCTCTGTGTGTGGTCCACTTTCAGCTAGTCTCACAGACTTGGCACTTGTTGCAACCCCCTTGATCACTCAGTGAGAGTAGTGGTCATTTCTGGTACCATCGCAGCTCCTCTATGGAGGGGTCAAGAACCCAGGAGGCCAGCGCAGGATAAGACCCAGGTTATGCCAGGTGTTGGTGGCACACGCTTTTAGTCCCAGCACTTGGGAGGCAGAGGCAGGTGGATCTCTGTGAGTTCGAGGCCAGCCTGGTCTACAGAGCTAGTTCCAGGACAGGCTCCAAAACAATACAGAGAAACCCTGTCTCCAAAAACCAACCAAACAAACAAAAAGACCCACAGGTTACAAGGGAAAAAACAGTGTGATAGCCATCCCACATTGGTCCCTGCTGCTTTACGTGAATTGGGAGTCAGCAGGCAGGCTTGGCTCCCTCTTACTCAGTGATGAGACTGGCTCTGGGGTGGGGTGATGGAGTGTGATTGTCTCTGGAGTAAAGGCCAGTTCTTTCTCAGGGATTGAACAGGATATGGGAAACAGCTTTCCTTTCCTTCCTGGCTAAGGCAAAAAGGCTACTTTAGCCCAGGGTATAGCCAGCTCATGTATCATGTTCATGTCCTGAATCTTGGACCTCCAGACGCCTTAATCTGGCAGCTGGTCCAAGGGGAAACCCAGAAGATCAGAGCCAAGTCCAGTGTTGGGGGATTAGAAAGGGGAGTAGAATCAAATACATGACCCTAGTTCCAAACCCTGGTCTGGATTAGTCCCCTACAGAATAAGGAGGGAACTGGGAAGATATTGGTGGATGGCCAGAGGCATGAAGGGCATGAAGGGCACAGGATACAGGCAGATGTGGTTTGAGTGGCTCAGCTTCCCCTGCTCACTCCTGTCTGCTGGTGAATGTGCCACACCACCAGCAGCAACCCAGGTGTAAAGCTGCTCTGGCTGGCCTTGAGTTGCTGATTCATGGCAGCAGGCAGGCAGGCATGGAGGGAGGGGAAGAGCCTTCTGGGGGATCTTGTTACTACTCATCAATCCAGCGGGATTCTGGAATGGACTTTGGTCACCAGGCTGTGGGAAGGATAGTGGCTTTACCCTCCAGGAGCATCTGGTTCAGATCTGGGCCAGACCCCAGAAAGAAAGCTCACATAGGAGCCCCTCTTTTTCCTGGGGGCAGGCACACCTTTAGCTCATTCCCAGCTTTGATGGCTAAGTTGGATAGCAGGTGGGATAGATAGAGGAGCCAGTCCTACTCATTGCTTGAAGCAGGCACTCCACATACCAGGTAGGGGCCAAAGCTGGGAACAGAGATGCAAAGCGGCCCTAGAAGGGCCTACATGACCAATCCCTCTGGTTTCTAGATTAGGAAGCTAAGAGCTAGTGGACACAATGGGGTTGGGGATGCAACCTGAGATGTCTGGGAGACAGAACCAAGTATCTCCTTCCTAGAGAAGGAGATGAAAAGATCAGCTCCAGGGGCGGGGCATCCTTGGGAAAGAAGAGTTGACCAGGAACAGAAAAATCAGTTGGGATGGGGTGTGATTGGTAAATGGCAGGTGGACCTGATCTAGGGCTGGAGGAGAAGTTGGCGAGTTCAAGTAGCCTAGAATGGGCCCGACGTTCTGGAAGGACAGGAAAGGTTGGAATCCAGAGAAGCACCTGCTAAGAGCCCAGGGCCTAGAAGTCTGGTGAGGATAGAGGGATAGAGGCCGGCCAGGGTGTTTCAGCGCCACCTCCCGCCCCAGGTCCCGAGTGAGCTTTGGGGCAGCTTCCCCCACTCCCGGCCCTCCCTTCCCAAGCCTTCCGCCCAACCCTGGAGGCCTCCTCGGGTTTCCGCAGGGGCCGGAGGGTAGACGGGGGTGTCACGTGCTCAAGGCTCGGGGGCCCGGTTGGTCAATGGACCGGGAGGGACCACTTCACTGGCCAGAGACAAGGGTCGGACGACCCCAAGAGAAGAGCCTGCAAGGGAAAGCCCCGGAGGCGGGCGGGCGGGCGGGAGGCGCAGAGCCAGCCTTGTCACGCATTGACCCGGGGCGGCGGGCGGAGCCCCTGATCTCGGATCTGGTCCTGGGGCGCAGCGCTCCGGCCGGGGATGAGCTCCCCGCCACCCGCCCGCAAGGGCTTTTACCGCCAGGAGGTGACCAAAACGGCCTGGGAAGTGCGCGCCGTGTACCAGGACCTGCAGCCCGTTGGCTCTGGTGCCTATGGTGCAGTTTGGTGAGCGTTCGCCGGGCGGGGCGGCAGTTAGGGCAGGCGGCGGCTGGCGATTACCGGGCGGGTTCTCTAGCCAAGCTGTCCGCCCCGCAGCTCTGCAATAGACAGTCGCACTGGTAACAAGGTGGCCATCAAGAAGTTGTACCGGCCCTTCCAGTCGGAGCTGTTTGCCAAGCGCGCCTACAGAGAGCTGCGCCTCCTCAAACATATGCGCCACGAGAACGTGAGTCCAACACCCGCCCCAGATGCGGACATTGTGCACTGGCCACCTCTCGTTCCGTCCTTTCCTTCAATCCTGTCCACTGCCTCTGCTTCCCGAAGCCTGGTACCTCCTACCTAGTTAGCCTCCAGCTTGAGTAAGTTATCAGCAGCTTCCAGGAGGGAAGTGGAGACCGATCCCAGACCCCTTTCTGAACGACACTGCAAGTTCAGGCCCTGATTTAGTGGCTTGGTTTCATCTTCAGTCCACCTCTACTTTCTCAGCCTAGGCAGTGGCCAGGGCATGTTCTAGGCATAAAGGCTCCCTGGGGCTTACTCCAAACCCTGTCTCCACTCAGGTTGGTGGGAAGAGAACTTTCCTGGAAGGAGTGTTTCTTCCCCACCCTAAGTCTTCTCTTGCCCACCTCCAAGCAGGCAGGTCACTAGAATTATGCACCCTGGCTCTATCATCCCAAAGCCTCCAGCCTCTATGGATATGGGGTTTAAGGAGCAGAGTATTACAATCATCATTGTGGGTGTGTATTTCTTCCATCAGGAAAGCATCACATTTCCAATTCCCCCTGCCCGTAGTAGGATACTGCACGTGGCGGTATCCTACTGGTAGGATACTGATGTGCCTCTCACATCAGCTTTGCAGACCATCAGAATCCTTTCAGTCAGGGGGCTTTGTCATTATATTGTTTTTTCTGAGGCTGTGAGTTCTATTCCCCCTCACTTCCCATCTGGGCAGTTGTGCTAGTCCTGAGTATATTTTAACCTCCTGGGTTATCAGAGTCAGTAGCCCCATGGAACAATGAACTCCCTGTGGCTGACAGCAAACTGACCCCCATTGCTTCATCATTGCCACTCTTGTTTGATGTGTCGGATCTTTATTTCTTTTCTTTGTGAAGCCTGATTAAGATTGATGCCAGCCCTAATTTGCCTTCTCACTTCCCAGTAAACCTGTTAAAAAAAAAAAAAAAAAAAAAAAACCACACACACACACACACACAACTCGGGAGGCAGAGGCAGGTGGATATCTGTGAGTTCAAGGCCAGCCTGGTCTACAGAGTGAGTTCCAGAACAGCCAGGTTACACAGAGAAACCCTGTCTGGAAAAGCCAAACCAAGCAACCAAACAAAAAGGCTTTGTTCTCATGTGTGTAGCCACCTCTGTCTTCAGAGCCCTCCAATCCCACCTAGCTACCTACCTACCCTGCACCCTTCTCCAGGCAAGGGTTGTGGGCCTCTTCATTTGCTCCCCACTTCTGAGTGAGTCTGTAGGTCACCTCTGCCTTGCCAAGGGTCTTACACCAAGCTACTACCCTGCCCTTGCCTGGGTGCACTAGCTTTCAAGATTCCTTAACACCTTCTAGGAGGCTGCCATTGTAGCTACCTTTTCATGTGGAAACTGAGGTTTGGACAGGCTGTATGTTCCACTTAACAGAAATGGGGCTGCCACAGATCCAGCCCTAGTCATCTTCCCCGTCTCCTAAAGCTCTGGCCCTTGGCCCTGGGTCCCATCTACACCACAAAAGTGCAGATATCTTGTTTCTTTGATGAACTTACCTTGACCTCTAGGACCCTGTTCTCTATTCTGCATAGTGTGCTAAGCTCTCAGGTCATGTCTGTGGTTCATCTGTCCCCAGGCCTTTCCTGTCCATGTTCTTCCCCCCAACTTTGGCCATGACTAAAATGGTCACTCAGGTGCCCTCTACTTCCTGTCTATTCTTGCCTCATTCTATCTGTCTTTTCATTGAAATTCAGGATACATATTCAGCCTTATACCTATCTTTTTTTTTTTTTTCTTCACTTTTTGGTTTTTTGAGACAGGATTTTCTTTGTGTAATAGCTCTTGGTGTCTTGGAACTCACTCTATAGATCAGGCTGGCCTCAAATCCACAGAGATCTGCTTGCCTCTGGGTGGTGTGCCACCACCGCCCAGCCTCAAAATCATATCTTTGTTTAAATCCTTCCACAGCTGTTCTGTGGATCAAAGCCAACTCTTCCTCTGGGATGTGAGTTTGAGGCCTTCTCCTTGGCTCCCTATTGGCCTGGGCTTTAGCTACTTGAACTTCTTCTCTGTTCCTCTGGAGGTGTTTTCTGTTCTGCTTTGGCCATCAGACACCCTGTCTCTCTTTGCTCTTTTACTCATCTCTAATAGTTGGATATACAGCCCTTGTCAGGGGGGCCCCTCCCCTTAACCCCAGAGTTCCTGTCCCCCAACCAACTACTGGGAAACTGATGTCACATTGTCCATCTGTTGTCCAACTCCCTCAACCAGAAGCTGTGTTTAAATTGGTGCTTCCCCTTGGCCTAGAGAGCCAACGGATGGCCCTGGGAAGAACCTACCAGGTATTCGTTTCTCCCAAGGGACTGTCCCCACTTTGGTCTTGGGTCTGCTTCATTGAGGAGGAAAATAAAAGTGGGCAGGGGGGGGGGAGGGAAAACTAAGGGGTTGGATTGCTCAGAAGCCTGGAGTTAACCCAGACTTGAGACTGCCCCTCCCCCCCCCAGAGTATCCCCGGCTGTCAGC